CATCTAACGACTATATTCAAGAGATATTCAAAGATTTTGAAAATAAAGAAATTATTTCTTCTGTTAATTATTTTCAACAAAATAAATATAGTCAATGCCATATTTATTCATATCCATATCAACTACATCATTATGATAATATAACAAACAATTTTCCAGGTGGAATCTTTACGTCGGTTCGTAGAGTATCATTATTTGATGAACGTTCTTTTGAACATGAATTTTTTCTTCGAATTGCTCAATCGTTTCCATTTATGGAAAAATTAACTTTAATAAATAATAAGCGACAAAACAATAAACAATTTGGAAAATCAAAAAATCAAAATCAAGATTTGTCAATTATTGAATATCCTTATCTTATTGAACTTGATCTTACTCAAGCTCAGAAAGATTATTACGAACAATTTTTATTTGACACCAAAATATATTTAACAAATAATGTTTGTGTTAATATGGATTACCGACTAGTGAAAAAAGTGACACGAAATTTTCGAAGAAATACAACACGAAGTAATTGTGCCAAAATGGTTTTCATATATTTTTGTGAAGAAATCAACATTTCCTGAACATTTAAAGGACTATTTTCCTCATACACAAATATGTTGATCATTACTAAAATACAAGATGAATAGAACAGATTGATTTATACAGAATTTTAATATTAGAAAAAGTGTGTGAAAGAATAAAAATTATGGAAAATGATGATAGTTGAAAATAGTTACGAGATAACATACATTGTCACAAATGAAAATATATGCTTATCTACTGATGTGTATGTTTTTGAGAAAAAAATCGAAATTGAAAAGTAACAGATATTAAAAGAAAAATAAACTATTATTTCACGTTATGATTGAAAAATTTATATAAGATAAAAACTAATTGAAAATGAACGGATATAAACTAAGAATAAAAAAGATTTAGAAATCAATATATTTTTCATATATTTCCATTTCTCAAGTACTATAGACAAGTAAACATTCATTATATATCAAAGGTAGTACAATATACTTACAAATTATTAAGTAAGATGCAAAATTGGAGTAAATTTTTTTTTTTCGTTTTTATACATGGTTAGATAGAGTTCGTCGAGCTGAGTAAGAATATATCTGTTTTAATATTTTTCAAAAGCGTTTTGATTAAAAAAAACTCAAGCTTTTTCGATAACTCTCAATAGTCCATTTTTCCTAAAAAACCTCAAAACATTGCTACATTCTTAAAAGTTTTTTCAATTTTTTAAGAAAATTTCATTTCTTTGGAATTGTCAAAATCAGATATTCAGATTCCTCATGAAAAACTGCGTTGATTGGA